CTAATCTAAGTGAAGGAGAAGAAGTAAGAAAGAATTTCGAAGAAATAAGGACATAAATGGAGCCCATGTGCCTTTATTTAATAAAGTAAGAGCGGTTAAGTATATATTTTAAGTATTATGGTGACATTTTGGTGAAGTGCAGATTATATATTTTATTTGTACACGTATAAAGGAAGGAAGATAGAAGGAAATTGAAGTTAAAAAAAAGGATTGAGGGCTAAATTGTAAAGGATGAAAAGTATGAAAGGTAGAATGGTAAATAAGGAAAAGTTGGAGACTTGTGTGCAATTATTATATTTAAAGCAAATTGGACATTAAGTAACCAAGGAAAGCTAGATTATGTGGGATAATGAGATGTGCATGTAATTTCACTATTATATATTAAAGATAACATGTAAAAAGGAGAAAGGTAGTGGGGAAAATGTGGGGCCTCAACTATGTGAAGTGAAAAGTAAGATAGGCTTAAATTTGTTTGCATGTAAAGAGATTGGTGCATTACATGGCGAAATGAGGAAAGGGAAACATAGATGCATGTGACTTGAATGGCTTAATAAATGACCAAATAAAATATAAAGTGAAGCTTGTGCATGAAATATGATTGGAGGAATTAGGTGGTGCATGGAATAAAGAATGAAGAAAAAAAGAATGGGAAAGTGAAGGGGGGAGAGTGGAGAAGTGTAGTAAGGATAGATAATGGGCCAATGAACAAGAGGGGAACTAGTGCATAAAGAACCATTGGTTGGAAAAGTGGTCCAATGAAAACAAAGGAAAATTGGTGCATGTTTTGTGGTTGGTTTCAAAGGGTGGCCAAATGAATAGAAAAGAAAATTTGTGCATGAAATGTGATTGGTTCCAATGGGCGGCCGTATAAATACTAAGTTTCAAGAGTGAAAGAGAAAAGTGAAAAGGACTTTGGTGAGACTTGAGGGTCGGCCATTTAGAGAAAAAAAAAGGAAAGAAAGCTTGAAAGGTTCCACTCGAGAAAAAGAAAAAGAAGAAAGAAAAAGAGAAAGGAAGGGAAGGCTTAGTTTTGCACAAAACCAAGAGGAATCGTGAGGTTTCCTCCTTCATCTTGTAGATTTTTGCTATTTCATCACCCAAGGAGTCTTCAATACTCAAGAGAGAAGCTGTAGAGTATTGATGGAGGTGTAAAGCTCAGTTTCAAGATACAAGAGAGATAAGGTAAGAATTTTGGTTTTAGCTTGAGTAATCTTTGAAAATGAGTTGGTGACTAAGAGAAATCTCTTGTGGCAGCAAAGTGGAAAAGATTTGGTGACATGCAAACCATCAAATTCATGGGTGCATAATGGATTCAAAGTGGAAAAGAAATGGTAAGCATAATACTATAATTTGAGGCCTATGGTTGGTTGAATATTGTGAGGAAATAATTGTGCAAAATGTTTGTAGCAAGATCAAATCAACCACAAATGTAAGGCATGCAATGTGTAGCGTTTATGTGATGCCTTGGGTATGGTTAGAAAGCAATTACGTTAGTTGAAAGCTTGAAAAGAATAAAATGGGTGGACATGTGTTGTTGTGAAAGGATTAAAAGGTTAAGAATGTGGCGTGCGTGAATGAAAATTGATGTTGTGCTTAGTGGCAGCATGCAAATGTAAATAGTGGTGCATATAAGCTTAGAGGATGCTTGGTAAAATTAGATTTATAGTTGCTGCCATATGTATGATTAATGGTATGAAACCAATAGGTTGAACATGATAAATGTCATTAGAAAAGATTGATGTGGGTGTTGAAGTCATAAACAAACTGTTAGGATTATGTAAATTAAAGTTTACACTAAGGATTAAGTGTAAACGGTTATCTCTTAAAAAATGAAATGAAATGAAATGAAATGAAAGATGAGAATCTAGAATTAAGTGTGAATAGAAAGTGTAGAATATATTGACAAAAACGTTTATTGATGGTATGGAATTGAAATAATGTTAGGAAGTTAACAAAGGAAGGGTTATTGTTGCAAGCACAAAGTGAGTATTCGAGGAAACATCAGTGGTGAAGTAATATCCCGCCATTGTAAGGTGAGTAGGAGGTGTTTATTTTAAAATTTCCATGATTATATAAGGATATATGTATAGTTAACGTTGATAGTATTCTTTAAATGCATTTATGAAAAGCATGAGCTGCTAGAAAATGATAGGCAATTTTAAATACTATTTATGAAATATTTATACACTGTTATTATGGAAAGCACGAGTCGGCAGAAACCATAGGAAATTATGGATGCAAGTTGTTTTGAAAGTTGTTTTGGATATATCTATAGATAAGCTATATATGCAAAGTGTTTTAGAAACCCAAAACAAGTCTTTTTACGATGTTCGCATAAAAATCTGTGTCTTGTATTTTTGTGTGATATGCATAGCTGAATACATTTGTTAAATGATTTAAAATGTGAGTTTGAGCACCGGTTTTATTTGATCTTTGTATGAAGTGTTTACACTATGCCATTCAATGTGTAAAGCAATTTGAAGGGTTATTGAACCTTGATTTCAAACGATTTAAAGGAAAAGCCTTGAAAAACTTGATTTTGTTTTTAAAACAATTTTGACAAATCGAGAGCATCGAGAGTAGGCTAAATGTCACATCGTGATAGTATGACCCTTTTACATAAGTGAGCTTTAGCTAGAGAATTTTTGGGTCACTGACGGGCTGTTAGACGTGCCTGGTTAGATAGGACAAAGTCATGGGTTATTATATGTGGCTAGGCCACAAGTTTGATATGTGGTTGCGATAGCTTGATTTCTCTAATGTCAGCCAACATCATTGAGACTGCCATGGCTGTGGGAATTTGGTAGAGTGGAGCTCTTGGAAGTTATTACGTGGAAGTGGGTCCATGGGCGATTATGATGCTTACCTAGTCGAGAGCCTTGTGAGTTTTTCAACACGTACACTTTTGCATGGTGGAGAGTTAACATTTCTCTGCAACTTCCCTTGTTTGAATAAAAGCTTTCAGTGCCCACTTGACGATCATGAGTGGGTTTATGTGGTTGACCATGTTGATTTCTTTACATGCCATACATTTTGGGAACATGCATACTTTTATACTGTTGATCATATTTTGATGGCAAGGGATGTTTTTGATGATTGAACTCTGTTTTGCTGCACCATTTTGCCAAGTGAAATATTGCATTATGATTTTACGGCATCATTTTTACAAGGCACAAATACTTGTGATTTGATTTTTCAAAGATTATTATTCTCATTCCGATTTTATCATTCAAATTTATCTACTTTATGCTTGTTTCACATCTATGCCCTACTTATGGAGTCGATGATTATTGAGTCTGTGAGACTCACCCGTTTTTTTTCCTTTTTGTAGATAGTGATCGGTCTAATGTCCATTCATCGGCATTTATTGTCTACCGTGGATAGGTAAAGACATCTCATAGCACCTTACTTCGAGTTGCTTCATTGCTAGAGGTCAAGTTGATTATAGCATAAGTTAATTATAAATAGTGTCAATGTAATTGTGTAATTGAATATTATAGACTTAATGTATTCTTATGCTTATGGTGAGTAAAATTTAAGTAAATTTTATTATTACTATTGTTCCAAATCATATCACAAAGGACTA